CTTGCTACTTCTACTTACACTTAGGTCACACTACACATACATGTACAAGCACATATATACACACCCCTCTGGGTTTTCTTCTGTTTTCTTTCTAGTTCTTATTCTTGTTTATTTCCTCTTATCTCCATGGGGAAGTGGAACAGAATTCTTCCTCCGTAAGCCATGCGTGTTGTAAGAGGCGACTAAAATGCCGGGAGCAAGGGGCTAGTAACCTCTTCTCCTGTATATATTACTAAATGTAAAAGGAGAAACTTTCGTTTTTCCTTTTGGGCCACCCCGCCTCGGTGGGATACGGCCGGTGTGTTGAAAGAAAGAAGAAAGATTAGTATTATCTAGGTAGTAGTATGGTAGACAGCAACCACCCAGGGAGGTACTACTGTCCTGCCAAGTGAGTGTAAAACGGAAGCCTGTAATTGTTTTATATGATGGTAGGACTCCTGGTGTCTTTTTAATCTGTCTCATATACATGCAAGATTTCAGGTACGTCTTGCTACTTCTACTTACACTTGGGTCACACTACACATACATGTACAAGCATATATATGCACACCCCTCTAGGTTTTCTGTTATTTTCTTTCTAGTTCTTGTTCTTATTTATTTCCTCTTATCTCCATGGGGAAGTGGAACAGAATTTTTCCTCCGTAAGCTATGCGTGTCGTAGGAGGCGACTAAAATGCCGGGAGCAAGGAGCTGGTAAACCCTTCTCCTGTATATAATACTAAATTTAAAGGGAGAAACTTTTGTTTTTCCTTTAGGGCCACCCCACCTCAGTGGGATACGGCTGGTGCATTGAAAGAAAGAAAGAAGATTAGTATTATTACAATGACATTAAGGCTACAGGGACACTCTTACTAATTTTAACGTATACCTGCACGCCAGCACTGTGTAAGTATATTTAGGTACAGGTACACATAAGTATAATTATCAGACTACATATAAAATATGCAAAAACTTTAAAATACTTGAAATTTTGGAAAGTTTCCAAACATAATAGAGAGATGTGCTCATGGAGAATGTAAACAAACCGGGTAGCACACGCCGTATTAGAAAGTCCGCTCATTGTACAGTTTTAATCATAATTTGAAATCGCCGTATTAGTGGAATGCCATAAAGCAGGGCCCTACTGTATATTACTAAATTTAAAAAGAGGAGCTTTCGTTTTTCCGTTTGGACCACCCTGCCTTAGTGGGATACGGCCAGTTTGTTGAAAGAAGAAGAATTTTTATAGTGGGCCTGAAGAAAATAAATTATGTAATATCACAGTCACTAGGGATATAGTAATCAAACAGGTTGACCAACAAAATCCCTGGGCCCTGATGAACTTTTTTCAAGGGCTTTTTAAGAGTTCATAATGGAACTTTGTGAACCATTAACTAACCTTTATATCTCTTCAAACAGGTGTAGTGTATGAAATGTGGAAGATAGCTAATGTAATTCCTATAAGCCTGACTTCAACTGTAGGCAAATAATGTGAGTCAGTTATAGCTGATATTATAAGAAGCCATCTTGATAAACAATATTTGATCTATGATGCTCAGCATGGATTCATGATGATCCATTGCTGCCTCACAAATTTACTATCTTCAGTAAAGCATTTGAGGCAGCTGATCATGAAAAAGAATACGATATTATTTATTTTGATTTTATTAAGCTTTTGATATGAGTATCACACAAAAAACTGTTAAAGGAAGTGACAGCTCATGGTATTGAGGCAAAAGTACTGTAATGGATCAAAACGTAGCTGACCAACAGGAAGCAGAGAGTCTGAATAAATGTGGTGAAATCAGAGATGATCAGTCACATATGGCATTTCACAAGGATCAGTTTTAGGCTAATTGTTGTTTCATAATATACATTAATGACTTAGACAAAAGAATAATAAGTAATATGAGAAAATTCACATACGATACAAAAACAGACAGGATAACTGATTCAGAGGAAGATGCCACTGAACTTCAAGAGGATTTAGACAATTTCATGTCATAGTCAGAAAAGTGGCACATGCAATTCAATGTAGAAAAATGCAAAGACCTGAAGCCCGGGAATGTAAATAACACTAGCACTTATAAACTAAATATTACAGAACTTGACCATACAGAATGTTAAAAGGACTTTGGGAGTTATAGTAAACAGCAACCTGAACCCATGACAGCAATGCCTAAGCGTTCATAATAAGGAAAACAGATTACTGGAATTTATTTCACGAAGTAAAGTAAAGTAAAGTTTATTTCTTTGTAAAGGTTACAATGTGTAATTACAATTTTGATTTGCTAAGTACAAAGATAGCCACTACCATGCCCAGGCATTTTGGGCAAAATAATCATAATACATAGAAACCAATTAACCCTTTGAGGGTTTCGGCCGTACTAGTACGGCTTACGACCCAGGGTTTTTGACGTACTAGTACGCCTAAATTCTAGCGCCCTCAAATCAAGTGGGAGAAAGCTGGTAGGCCTACATATGAAAGAATGGGTCTATGTGGTCAGTGTGCACAGTATAAAAAAAAATCCTGCAGCACACAGTGCATAATGAGAAAAAAAAATCTTCGACCGTTTTTTTTTGGAATAAAACAGCGACTTTGCACTGTATTTTCGTATGGTATTTATTGTTGTATTCTAGTTTTCTTGGTCTCATTTTATAGAATGGAAGACATATTACAGAAATTGAGATGATTTTGACTGGTTTTACAATGAAAAGTACCTTGAAATTGAGCTCAAAGTAGCAGAAATGTTCGATTTTTACCAAAGTTCAAAAGTAAACAAATCATGCCAAGTGTCCAATACACGTCAACTGGTGAGTCCAATATTCTTTCGCAAGTACGCCAATATTATTTATACCATTTTTTACACTAATGCAGTAGTCTGCATAACAGTAAATCTTCTATTTTTTTGTGAGAATAAAAATTCAAAGTGGAAAGCAAAAGAATGTAAGAGGGGCCTTGAGACATGACTAATGAACAGAGGAAATATCATTTTAGTGCCAGGAATGTCTTTCTTGTCTATTCTGGACCCTATTCGGAAATTGGCATTTTTTGAAATTTGTGTGAAATTGGCAAAATTGCTACATTCTGACCACTGTACTGGATAGTTGAAATTGATAAATGGGTGGTTTCTTGCACTCATTCGATAGAAAAAATGGAGTTCTAGCGAAATATTCATGTTTTTTGTCAGCTAGTACAGTGGAATTGGCCGAAAATGGGGCTCAAAGTGGGCAAGATCGCCGATGCGTAAACATCACCGAGACCGCTAACTTCGCGAGAGCATAATTCCGTAAGTTTTCCATCAAATTTCAAACTTTTGGTGTCATTATGATCGGGAAAAGATTCTCTATCTTTTCATAAGAGAAAATTATTATTATTTTTTTTTAAATTTGGCCGACCCTGAGAACGAGTCTCGGAGAGGGCCTGTCGACCCTCAAAGGGCTAAAACTATAGATAATAGTACATGGTACTTTACTTAAAACTAGACAAGAAGAAGTGGTTAACTGTTTTACAATCTTATTTAAACTTAATACAAAATGAGAGGTAGTAAGGTGGAGTAGGGTTCGGTAAAATAATCTTGAAATTGCACACAAAATCTACAAGTAATGGTTCATGTGGTCCAGAGGTTATTCTACAGCTCTACACATCATTAGTATGGCCTCACATAGATTATGCAGCTCAGGTCTAGTAACCATACTACAGAACAGACAAATTCATTGTAGAACATTCAGAGAACAGTGTATAAGCCCCATCTCTGTGAATATGCTGCATTTTTATCAAGAATGATGGACTTTACACATTAATATCATGCCAAGGGACTAATTACCTCAAACCCCTCTTCATCTCTTCCCCATCTCTGCACTGGACTGAAGAAACCAACGGCTCATGAAACATTTCCAGAATTAAGATACCCAAATGTTGCACAAGTGTCTCATTTATCAACCTGTCATTTTTTTTTAACCCATTTATTCAGTCACTAGTAAGACCTCGCATAGAATATACAGCTCAGTTTTGGTCACCATACTGCAGAATGGATATAAATTCATTGAAGTACATATACAGAAAGATGACAAAATTAATTCATTGTATATGGAATCTCCCATATGAGGACAGACTGAGAGCCTTGAACCTTCACTCTTTTGAAAGGCATGGAATGAGAGGAGACATGAATGAAATATAAAAGTGGAAGACAGGCATAAATAAAGGTGAAATAAATAAGGTACTGAGGATATAAGATCAAGTAAGAGCTAGAAATAATAGATTTAAATTAGATAAATACACATAAGTACTGGTTTTCAAACAGAGTTGTCAATATGTGGAACAATCTGCCAAGCAGGGTAATAGAAGCTAAAACTTTGGGTAGTATTAAAAAAGAGACAGGACACATATACAAGTGAGAAGGGCTGGGTCTGATTAGTACCTGAGGTATTTAAGGAAATTCATGTGTAGTTTTGGGAACGGGTTAGACAAATAGGTCAGTGGTAATTGTTGGTTTTGAGGACTTGCCTTGAATGGGCTAGTAGGCCTGCAGCAGCGTTCCTCCATTCTAATGTTCTTATGAGACTATCGATCATTTACTATGCTCAGACAAAGGCACAGAAGTAGATTGAAAAAACTGAAACGCTTATATATACAGAATTTGACAACGCGTATACATAATTTTGTACCAAATGTTGAAATGGATAAGTGTATTAGAAACCATCTCTCTATGCTATGCTTGTCATAGAATATAATTAAAATGCTAAGGACAAGAGGTTAGTTATATCTCCTTCCCTCCATGATAACCAGGACAAAGATGAGTGTTTTGCATGCTCTCTGGATTACCCATACTTGCTTTGACTATGTAATTTTCTACATAACATACAAGTAATTCATTTAAAAATTATGTTATTCAATATTCTCAAGCATGTTAATGACAAAGTTTATGTAAGTTTTAAAAATTTACAGTATTGAACAATATTAAAATAAATTAAAAATACGTTCTCTATAAATAAAGAAATTATGACTGTACTGTTCCTACCTTAGCATCAATATCATCATCATCTTCAAATTCATCATCCTTCAGAAAGAGGAAATTAGTTTCGATGAATTCCATTAACCTCTCTTCAAAGTCCTCCCTCTCAATAAAGGCCACAACATCCTAGTCAAAGAAATAATCACAAAACTATACACCACACAAAAACAAAAAGTAAACAAACAAAAAAAATCATAAAACAAAAATATAAATTAAATATGAAATTAGAACATTAATATAAATTAAATATGAAATTAGAACAAATATAAATTAAATATAAAATTAGAACAAATATAAATTAAATATGAAATTAGAACAAAGCATTTTTAGCAATTAAAGAGTTTACTGTTCATTGTGAACAATGACATAAACCTGGTAATAGATACCATGAAGTTGGTTATGAAAAACACCTAAGCAAACACTAAGACATATTTATTAGAAAATACCTCAGTCCTGGGACCTCGATCACATCTAACATACAGAGGTTAAAAAGACCGTATATATAGGTGGAGAGTGAGGTGTGAGTGATGCATGGTGACCTGAAGAATGTCATATTGGGATGAGAACAGGTAGACAATGTGATCACATGACTCCTATGTTGTTAGGTAGGTGATGCTTTGCCTGGTTGAGTCTCATGTATACTCATTGTGAACAATAACAATTTGGTGGGTGCTCAGACTATTTTAACCATTTAGTTGAAAAGCTACTCATGTGATGCACGAGTGAATCGTTTATACAAGACACTGAGAGGCAGGTCATTGTCAAAAATCTCTCACATCAAATGCTTTTTCAGGGTTGGGAAATAGGTACTTTTATACTGAAGGGCTTGATCCAAGGATTTGGAGCTCTACCTTCCCCTTTCTTGGATCAAACTTAATTATCTTCCATCCTACAGGTTTAGTGCTGCCCCATGACCATACAAGTTACCAGGAATATATCAAAACAGGAGAGCATTAAATCTATTAGTTAAATTGTAACGTGGCTCTTAGTTTTTATTATAAGAATAATAATAATAATAAACTGCAATATACACATAACCAATATCTAACCACTGCCATCAATACAGGTGTATCAAAATCCAAAAGAGAATTTATTTTTTAAGAAAAAAACACCAAATGCCTTTTTGGGCTTGGTGTTTATGGTTCCCTTGCACCATGTGATAACATAAGCCAGGCCATGAAATGACAGAAATAGTAGAAGCCATCAATGTGAATCAGCATTCAGTGAGGACCAGCTGTGTCATTTCCTAGAGAACTGTTGATGACATGCCCACACCAAAAGCATGTCCAAAGAAGCCTAGAAAAATGTCCTCACTAACATTAAGTGTAATAACATACCTAGAATTGCTCTTGCATAATGATCATGCATGCACAATCAATATGCAAGACAGTATTCCTTGATACACCAAGAGATCTTTTGTTCAGTAGCTAAGTGATTGAGATAACCTTCTTGGATAACTTCCAAACATTAAAATGTATGTCACCTATTTTAGTTTTGCCAGAATTGTCTTTCACATGTCGTAACCCTTAAACCGTCCAAACGTAGATCTACATTGTCACTGCTAGTGCTCCGAATATTTTGAAAAAAAAAAAAAAAAAAACTTTTTTTTTAATTAAAGAGAGCAATTTACTGTGTGTATGAAGAAAAAAAAATATTTAGGGCTAGTACTTGCTGAGATATAGGGCCATGAAGTTGTCACTGGATGCTCACCTGATGGCAACATGGAATCCTGCCACTTGCAGAAGTGTTGCCGATGTACCTTTTTTTCACGTTTTTATTTTAATTTACATAATTTTTAAGTTCTGATAATTACAATTTACCTAGGTACAGTAATAGGTTAGTAGACAGCAACCGCCCAGGGAGGTACTACTGTCCTGCCAAGTGAGCGTAATACGAAAGCCTGTACAATGGACCCCTGGTTCGCGATGCTATCAGTATCCGATAAATCCAGTAACCGATGCATTATATCGCAGAAAATTTGCCTCGCTTCCCGATACAAAACCCGGTATGCGATGTGGTTCGTACGAGACGTGTCCATGTGTGTCCTGAACTGCCCCGTGTGTGCCAGTGTTTACAAGCCAGCCAGTGTGCGCGCATCTAAGGATACATTCGGTACATTCCATATTATCCATATTATCACTGTTTTTGGTGCCTGTTTTTGCAAAATAAGTCACCATGGGCCCCAAGAAAGCTCACAGTGCCAACCCTTCAAGACGAAGGGTGCTAATGACTGTTGAAATGAAGAAAGAGATAATTGCAAAGTACGAAAGTGGAGTGCGTGTGTCGGAGCTGGTCAGGTTGTATAGTAAACCCCAATCAACCATCTCTACTATAGTGAGCAAGAAAACGGCAATCAAGGAAGCTGTTCTTGCAAAAGGTGCAACTGTGATTTCGAAACAGCGACCGCAAGTGTTAGAAAATGTTGAGAGACTTATTGGTGTGGATAAATGAAAAACAGATAGCAGGAGATAGCATCTCTCAAGTAATCATTTGTGAAAAGGCTAGGCAGTTGCATAACAATTTGGTAAAAAAATTGCCTGCAACTAGTGGTGATGTGAGTGAATCTAAGGCCAGCAAAGGTTGGTTTGAAAGATTTAAGAATCGTAGTGGTATACATAGTGTGATTAGGCATGGTGAGGCTGCCAGTTATGTTGTGTGACAAAAGTCCAGTGACTCTCAACCTGGTCCTAGTGGCATTAAAAGAAGAAGGGAAGTAACCCCAGAAAAGGACTTGCTACCTCAAGTCCTAATGGAGGGGGATTCCCCTTCTAAATGCTAACACCATCCACACTCCCCCCTCCTCCCATCCCATCAATCATCACCAGATCTTCATTAAAGGTAAGTGTCAATTATTCTTTTGTTATTTATTGTTATTTATTGTTATTGTTGTTATTGTAATTACTATTCTATTGCATTAAACTTAATATTTCATGTGGTAAAAGTTTTTTTTTTCATACTTTTGGGTGTCTTGCATGGATTAATTTGATTTCCATTATTTCTTATGGGGAAAATTGATTCGCTTTCCGATATTTTTGGTTTACGATGAGATCTCAGGAATGGATTAGTATTGCAAACCGGGGGTCCACTGTACTTGTTTTACATGATGCCAGGATTGCTGGTGTCTTTTCTCTGTCTCATAAACTTGCAAGATTTCAGGTATGTCTTGCTACTTCTACTTACACTTAGGTCACGCTACACATACATGTACAAGCATATATATACACACCCCTCTGGGTTTTCTTCTATTTTCTTACTAGTTCTTGTTCTTGTTTATTTCCTCTTATCTCCATGGGGAAGTGGAACAGAATTCTTCCTCCATAAGCCATGTGTGTTGTAAGAAGCGACTAAAATGCCAGGAGCAAGAGGCTAGTAACTCCTTCTCCTAAATAAATTACTAAATTTAAAGAGAGAAACTTTCATTTTTCTTTTTGGGCCACCCTGCTTCAGTGGGATATGGCTATGGCTATGGCTATGCTGCTCCTCCTCCTCCTCCTCCTCCTCCTGATCCTCCTCCTGCTCCTCCTCCTCCTCCTACTCCTCCTCCTACTCCTCCTCCTCCTACTCCTCCTCCTCCTCCTCCTACTCCTCCTCCTCCTACTCCTCCTCCTCCTCCTACTCCTCCTCCTCCTCCTCCTCCTCCTCCTCCTCCTCCTACTCCTCCCTCTCCTCCTACTCCTCCTACTCCTCCTCCTCCTCCTCCTCCTCCTACTCCTCCTCCTCCTACTCCTCCTCCTCCTACTCCTCCTACTCCTCCTCCTCCTACTCCTCCTCCTACTCCTCCTCCTCCTCCTACTCCTCCTCCTCCTACTCCTCCTCCTACTCCTAATCCTACTCCTACTCCTACTCCTCCTACTCCTACTCCTCCTCTTACTCCTCCTCCTCCTACTCCTCCTCCTACCTACTCCTCCTCCTCCTCCTCCTCCTACTCCTCCTCCTCCTCCTACTCCTACTCCTACTCCTCCTCCTACTCCTACTCCTCCTCCTACTCCTCCTCCTCCTCCTCCTACTCCTCCTCCTCCTCATCCTCCTCCTACTCCTCCTCCTCCTCCTACTCCTCCTCCTACTCCTCCTCCTACTCCTCCTCCTACTCCTCCTCCTACTCCTCCTCCTACTCCTCCTCTTACTCCTCCTCCTACTCCTCCTCCTCCTCCTGCTCCCACTACCTGCTTATATATACCCATCCTGCTCTACTCCTCGTTAGTGTGACTGTAAATGGTCCAAGTCGGACCGAAACGTGGCCGTAAGTTCCTCTCTTCTATGTGCGGGCTATTTGTGTATAATGCCCCACCTGGTTTGTTTACATTCTCTGTGAGCACGTATCTCTAGTATGTTTAAAAATTTTCCAAAATTTCATGTGTTTTAAGGTTACTGCATATTTTATATGTACAGTGGACCCCCAGTTTTCCTCCTTAATCCATTCCAGAAGACCAGTCGAAATCCAAAATGGACGAAAACCAAAGTACATAATATTTCCCATATGAAATAAAGTAAATCCAATTAGTCCATTTCAGACACCCAAAAATATTAACAAAAAATACATTTTATAGAGAATAACTCTAGTTTTACATACAGAAAACAATGAGAAATAAATACAAAGCACTAATAAAATGGATAAATGAACATTTAAATCACTTTTACCTTTACAGAAGACTCTTGTTTGCATACAGAGGACAGCGAGGAGGGGAGAGGGAGGAGAGGTTATCTTTACCACCATCACTACCACCATCACTACCAGCCTCTACCACCATCACTACCAGCCTCTACCACCATCACTACCAGCCTCTACCACCATCACTACCACCCTCTACCACCATCACTACCACCCTCTACCACCATCACTACCACCCTCTACCACCATCACTACCACCCTCTACCACCATCACTACCACCCTCTACCACCATCACTACCACCCTCTACCACCATCACTACCACCCTCTACCACCATCACTACCACCATCACTACCACCATCACTACCACCCTCTACCACCATCACTACCACCCTCTACCACCATCACTACCACCCTCTACCACCATCACTACCACCCTCTACCACCATCACTACCACCCTCTACCACCATCACTCCCACCCTCTACCACCATCACTACCACCCTCTACCACCATCA